CAATTATTTTTTAAAAAAAATTTTTTAAATTAAATTTTAAGAAAATTTTAATAATATGTTTTAAAAACTTTATTAAGTAAACTTGTTTTTTATATTCTTAAATATGTTAATCTAGATTTTTTATTTTATTTTATCAATTAATTATTAAAATATTATAAAAAATAAATATATATATATAGTGCAAGTATTTTTGTTCACTACTGTAATATTTATAATATTTTATAAAAATGTTTTGAAAAAATTAAAGCATATTTTTACTTAAAAGGATTTGAATGATAAGCATCAATTGTCTGACTGTCACATGTATATAGTTATATTTGTTCTATAGCAATAATTATATCAAACTATTAGTACAAATTAATAAAGAATATGAAAGTTGTGACACAAAGCCTTTGATATAATATTTCAAGAAAAAAGAGATGAATTTAACTCGGACAAACTAACTTACCCGAATCCCTGCCCGAAAACGACAAGAGATCAAGAATTGTGACATGACCATTTCCCAGACCTGCGACAATATGTATATACTGTATAACATTCATTTTGTGATTCGAGGTTTCAATAATTATACCTCTAAATAGTTTTACATGACTAAAACTTTTCCATTAAACAAATGTATACACGTGTGTATTTTCGATGTTGTCTGTACAATTATTTTTCAACAAAATTTCTTTGGTGCATTGTCTATATTTATTTTTTAAGACTACAAAGTACAATCAAACACGAGGTGATGTAAAAAAAGAAATGTAAGAATAATAATAATAATAAGAAAACTCCAAAATTCTAACAAACCAAAATCAAAGAAAAGCGAGAATGTATCTCTATTAAAAATTGCTGTTCTTAATAGATGATACATCAACACACTTCATGCGCAAACAAAAATACTTATTAGCCTTAAATGTCTTGTGAATAAATAAACCCACTCTACATATACAAATTACGAAGTAACCGGTTGAAAGGTAGTAGCATGCACATCAAAAAGTCCAGACTTCCTCTCCTCAGAATAATTCGAATTTGTATCATCATCTGTTACCTCGAATGGAATAGCGGATGCATGCAGCCGAGAAGGGCGGAAAGCAAAATTCTGAGCTGGATCAGGTCCTCTCGGTTGTCGGATGGGAGATGCAAGAGGTGTTCCTTCATTACTAATCATTCCAAACAACAAATTATTAATTACATGATAAGTATTTCAATTTTCTCAAATAATCTAGTACTTACATCCAAGATTTTCTGAAAGGTGATCGTGATAGTGGGGAAGCATCACCTCTCATAGATTTATTTGAGGGACTTTCAGCCAAACCCGCACTGGCCAATAACTGTTGTGCCGAACGCCTTCCGAAAGAACCATTTTTCGATGATTGCTATAATTTAATTATCCTATCAGACGTCTATTTATCCATAAGAACATGTCAAGGAAAAAATAAGAGACTACCTTTATGTTGATAGCGGCTGATGCTGGTTTACGCACGATCTTCAGAACTCTATCGTCATTATCACCTTCGCTATAATGATACAAACCAAGCTTCTGGGCAATCAGATGCAGTGTCCGGCGGTGGGCAGCTGTAAGCGTTTTGGGAAATACCAACTCCTCGCGGGATTTATCATCACGAAAAATAATAACCTGGTCGTAGAATTTAAGCGTTTCAGGATCATTAAGATCAAGTTGATCTGGTGCTTAAACACGAAGAAAAGATGAAATTAAAAAATAAGTTAATGCAAGATATAATTTCACTTCTGAAGCAATTTGGAAATTATTTAATTTAATTTGCAACAAAGATTCTATAAAGTTGAAAGACTTTTAATTCACCTACCTAATTAACAAATGATTATCTTTCAAGATACTGATGAATTATCATTAATTTTAAAAATATATATATATATATAAATAACAAGGTATTTTGAAATATATATAAATAATCCAAATATTGATGAAATTAAAAATTTAAAATATAGACCTATGGGTCTATAGCTCAGTGGTAAAGCTCCATAGGTCACCAGGTGAAGGTCTAGGGTTCAACCCCACCT